CTTATGCATAAATACTGATGAACATAAATCATATTTTGCGACATCTCCAACATCTTCATCATAGACAACATTACTGGATTTGTTGCCTTCATTCATGGTTGAAATAATGTTAGATTTCAACTACAGACGAATAATCATGAAGAGGTAGTTTTTTCATCCAAGTTTATGAACTTCTTGGACTTAAAAGTCTCTGTATTAGAAGTTCACATATTCTAGCTGTAGCCTGTGCCTCCAAAGTTATTTCCTACTTCTCCTTGACAGAAGTCCAGCTTACAAATATAGGGGATAGGATTACTGATTCCACAAATACTGCGTACCATGTCTACTGTATGTCAGAGGCTGTAGTAAGCACTGGGAATTCAGGGAGAGTCTCCGAAGTTAAGCTGAGACAGCCAGCCGGAGTGATCCTGATGGAGCAGAGGTGTGAGGTGAGGGTGGGAAGTAGGAAAATACTTTAGGCAAAGGGAAGAGTGTGCATGAGGCTCCCGAGATAAGGATGCTGTGCCTAGCTCATCCTGCGTCTACCTGCCTACCTTCCCCCTTATGTATGCATTGTTCTTAACTGGTAGGAACTGGGGACCAGGAGAAACACACCCTGCTTCTAGATCTTTGTTTTAAGTTAGCGTTGTCATTGGAGTTTTTCAGTATCACGACGTAGCATGCTTTATTTTGCCACAAGAGATCCTTCGTATGGTTGTGCTGTAGTTTGTATGCAAACAGCAAATGGGCTGTTGAATTGGTTCTAGTATTTTGCTACTAAAACCAGTGCCGTAGTTAATAATTGGAAATGTTATATAACGTGAAAATTACAGTATATATAAAATTCTTATAAGGATTAATTTCTGTGTCAAAGTAAAGTGTAGTATTAATTGCAATGTATATTTCCAAATTGCCTTATGTAGTGTTTGCACAGATTTATATTTTCAACATTAATGGAAGTGCCTATATTTTGGCAGATGGATATTTCAAATATATTGTAAAATTGCTAGTCTCACAGGTGAAAATTGTTTCTCAGTTTTCTATTAATTTCTCCTTGTCCGGAGTGAAATTTAATATTTTACTTTTGTGAAATGTTTATTACTATTCCATATTTTAGGGGGGCTATCCTTTTGGGGATTAAAATTTATTTTTTTCTAGAGTATAAAAGTACTTTAGAGAATTCCTTTTTAGAGTTGTAATCCATTTGCCACTCATCTGAGTTGTAAATAGTAAGTTTCTGATTATCACAGTTGCTACAGTCTGTTTATGCCAAACAGAAATTTTATTATTGTGTGTGTTTGTGTTTGTGTGTCTGTGTGTGGTTGAGCATGCGTGCATGTGTGTGGAGGCCAGGGGTTGATGTTGGGGCCTCTCGTCCTTGATCACTGTCTTGTCTGTTGAGCATGTATACATGGGTGTGTGGAGGCCAGAGGTTGATGTTGGGGCCTGTTGTCCTTGATTGCTGCCCACCACATTCTTTTTGAGATGGGGTCCTTCACTGAAACAGGAGCTTAGCGATTCAGCTAGACCATTTGCTCAGTAAACTCCAGGGACCTTCCTGACTCTGCCTCTCCAGTGATAGGTTATAGACCTGGTTTATGTGCCTCTGTGCCTGGCTGTTTTTCATGGTTGCTGGGGATCCAAAATGAATCCCCCATGTTTGCATGCCAAGCACTTTGTCACTGCGAACTATCCCCTGCAGCCTCTATGGTGGGCATTTTTATAATGTATCATAAGTCATGGTTAAAATTACTTTTCCTACTTTAGAGTTATAAAGGAATTCTCTCAAGTTCCTGTCCATTGTTTTTATGGTTTTATTTTGGAAGTTTACACCATCAAGTTTTTTATTTTTATTTTTCTGTGTGAAATGGATTCAGATTAATTTTTGCTAGATGCCTACGTGCTTGCTACAATACTGCTAATTAATTATTTGTCTTTTCCATTGATTTAGCATACTGCCTATAGCAAAGCAAGTCCTGGGATTTGGACTTTATTACTTACCTTTCTCTTTAATGTATGGTGCACTTGTCTTTTGTGTGTTAGTGTTAGTAAGCTTTTATGTGACATAATTGCAACTTTATAATCTAAAATGTCATATTGATAGCACTGGTTCTATGTCATTGTTGTTTAATAATTACCTTGGCTAGTGCTATGTGTTTATTTTTTTAATTTTTTGATTTTATGTGTATGAGTGTACTGCCTGCATGCATCGCCTGCACCCAAGTCGTGCAGTGTTCACAGGCCAGAAGAGGGCACCAGATCACCTGGAACTGGAGTTACGGACAGTTGTTAGCTGCCATGTGGGTGCTGGGATTCGAACCCGGTCCTTTGCAAGAGCAGCCAGTGCTCTTAACCACTGAGCCATCTCTCCAACCCTATGTGTATATTTTCCCATACACAGTTTGACTGCTAAAATTCTGTTGGTGTTTATAAGTGGAGATGTTGTTTTTATAGATTCACTTGGGAAACCCCTATTCAAGGACAAGGCAAATCTTTCATTCACTTTTGTTCCCCTGAGTTCTTGCAAAGGCCTTACAGATTTATTACCTGTGTTACCTGGCAGCACATGATCTCTTTTCTGATAAGTGGGATTATATGTTCCATGATATTGCCTAATCATGAAAATTATTGGCACCTGTTTATGTCAATGAGTTTACTTAATATTAAAAATATTTTTGATTGACTTATTTTTATTTTCTGTGTATGGGTGCTTTTTCTGCATGTATGTAGGTATGCACTCAGGTATGTAATGTTCTCCAGAAGAGGGTATCAGGTTCTCTGGAACTTGAGTTACACATGGTTGTTAACTGCCATGTGCAAAAGAGCAGCCAGTGCTCTTAACCACCGAGTGGCCCCTTCTGCCCCAGTTTACTTAGTATTTGTAGCAGTTTGGCAGTTCATTTTTTAAATCTTCTGGCGTATACTGGTATAATCTAGAAAGATGGCAGTTTTTACTTCTTCCTTTTCATTTTTTAAAGCGTTTCTTGTCTTTTCTTTATGTAGTTCTGTTGTCTGGTAAAGGGCATCCTTGCCTTCCAGTTGGATCTGGGACTGTCTAGAATATGTCTTCCTATGCTCAGCACTTTAGGCTGTGACATAGTTTTCCATGTTAAGGAAATATCCCACTTTCTTCTTTAGGATTTTTGTTTGAAGTCAGGAATATTATTACATCAAAAGCCATGTGACATTTTATTGCTACACATGGTACGATGGGCTATAGTGATATATTCCTAATACTGAACTGTATTTTCATTCCTGTGATAAACTTCACACACACACACACACACACACACACACACACACACACACACCCCCACAC